CTTAAATGGCACAAACATACACACTCTCTTTGCCGGCCGAGGACCGTGAGCGGTATTTAAATAAGCTACTGGATACGGGGTTACAGAGGTGTCCCTTTGAAATGGTCGAAAACTGGATTAATGACCCCACGCAGTGGCCAATATATGGACTATTCAGACATCTAACGTTACCACTATCTCGTGGAATCACCAAGTAAGTAACGTTAGACTATTTTTTTTGTCATTAACACACTCACAGTATGACAAACTAGACGATGAGGCCATGTCACTTGGATCATATTTAACTTGATTTAAACTATTGACATAGTTTTGTTGTCGACTAGCTATACTATACTGTTGAAATAGTGGCAGGCTAGGACTAAAGTGGACTTGGCTGGTTTCTACTTGTGTCTAGAAAGTGCTAGGACTTTGAAAGTTGTAAAAAGGTTTACAGTGTACGGCAAAATATGTATAGGACCAATGTATGTATGTACGGGGCTATCAAATTGGATGTTGTGACATTACGCTATCCTATATAGCCTAGAAGGCTTGATCTACTGCCGTTCGTGTTGTTACATGTAGTCCAGCGCAGTGCTCGACGAAAAGTCATATAGGCCTAAAGCACTTTCTAGACACAAGCAGAAACCAGCCAAGTCCACTTTAGTCCTAGCCTGCCACTATTTCAACAGTAAAATCAGTTAACAGCCAAGGTAGCGTGCCTAGTGAGAGCTAACGTTAATCACATAACGTTAGCTGCTAGCAGCTCTGTCTTTCTAACTAGCGTTAGTATAGCTAGTCGACAACAAAACTATGTCAATAGCTTAAATCAAGTTAAATATGATACAAGTGACATGGCCTCATCGTCTAGTTTGTCATACTGTGAGTGTGTTAATGACAAAAAAAAAAACGTTACTTACTTGGTGATTCCACGAGATGGTGGTAACGTTAGATGTCTGAATAGTCCATATATTGGCCACTGCGTGGGGTCATTAATCCAGTTTTCGACCATTTCAAAGGGACACCTCTGTAACCCCGTATCCAGTAGCTTCTTTAAGTTTGTGCCATTTTTGCTATCAAGAAACTTGGCAGCTCTAGAGCGAGTTCTGTTCTCAGGGGAATCCGTTTGTTTTCCCCCAAAAGGGGGCGTTACCCTTCGATGACGCAAAAGTAGCGTTGGTCTATAGCTTGTTTTCATATGACGTCACGCCACTGCGTTGCCATGGGCGAAATGCAAATGGAGGGCAGGAAGTGATTTGCTGTATTTAGAAAGCCCTATAACACACTCAAAATGCCTATGTTTTGCATGTAAAGTAGTACAGTACAGACTTTCCTCCATCTCGTCCATCATAATCACGTGACTGAAACCCAGCTATTGCGGTCTCAAAATTCTGGTCAGTTGATAATACTTAAGCCTCGCTCACACTACAGGATCGAGTTTTAAAATCCTAACCGATTTTGAAATCTGGTTGCAGCTCACACTTAAGGAGAATCTTTGCAGATTTTCTTACCTCAAATCTTAAACATGCTCACACTACAAGATTTGAAAATCGTGGCGCATCACACACTACACAATGTTATTAAGATTCGTGCCAGAGAAAGCGCCTCACGTGATCTCACGCAACAGATCGGAAGCGGAAAGGTGGATGTAAACAAAATATCTGTCCTTCATATTAAGTCATATTCGTGAAAAGGTTGCCGTGTGACCAAGGAAAGCGAAATCTTTAAAAAAAAATCATCCTTTTAATAAGGATATTTCTAATGAATGGCGTCAGCTCTGTTCAATACAATGATCAGCAGCGTTGCTCAATGCCCATTGCTGCTCAGCTGAGCATTGTAAAGTGGAGCTCAAAGTTAAAATTAAAATAATTAACAGCTTGTTTCATTTAACCTATCTTTGAATGAATATAACTTTATAATGAATATAAATATTTTATAATGAAAATATTTTTGTGTAGGCCTAGGCCTAATTCTGTGAATTACACTGTGCAAACCAAAGTAATAGCCTACAGTAGCTACTACCCACCGGATGAAGAAAGGGCTCTCAGTCTCCACAGAACATAAAATATTCATATTATTTTATTTTTCGTGTTGGCATTTGAGGAAAAAACAATGTTACGGACATGACCGCTCTAAGCGACTTTAAAATATGCTTTAAAACTTTCACAAAGACATCAAACAGAAAGCACAAAACCTTTCTTTAAATCGAATTTCGTTTTGTATTAATTGTATCTTAATTTTAAACAATGTTTCATCAACCAATTGCCTGGATTTTTATAAATAAGAAGTAAATATAGCAGACGATAGATAATCACGAAACGGAGGCGTCGGCGATACTTGATAAATGAACCGAAACTCAGCGTATAAGATAGCCTACTTGCCTCACAGACATGTCTACTTTTAAACAGAACAATTCAAAATGAAAGAAAACAGACTACAGACTGCTCTCTGCTTATGTAATCCGTATGAAATGTGCATTTCTCGCGTGCATCCTGCGGAAGACGGAAGAGTTGCAGATGGTTCAGGATCGATATCGAAAAATCTATATTTTTGACAACACTAGATTGTAGGCTACTTAGTTTATTATTTCAGATGCCTTTATTATGCATTTAGTATTTTATTATTATTTATTATACTGTATTATGCTTATTTATTTAGCAATAACTGGATAAATGGAGATAATGCGCGCATCGCGCTGATGAGTCACTCAAAATTACCTCAATGGAAATTCCTTCACCATGACAGCCCTACTACTTATTGGCTATTGTGACAGTACTGACGTAATCACAATCTTGCTCATCCCGATAAATATCAAACATGTTTGATATGATCGGGGCGAGCCCGATTTGTGTAAGAGCAGATCGGGAGGTGCAAGATTCGATCTGTGAATGCCTCACATTACCAGATAATCTGTGCCGAACATCGGAACCGATCGAGGTCCTCGACAAGATTTTTTCTCCGATTCTCGGGAGGGGAAAATCGGGCATAAATCGGCCTAAAACTCCTGTAGTGTGAGCCAGGCTTTAGAATATCAAAATCAACTGCTGGCGGTAGATCCTTTTCCTATTTAGCACCAAAACTTTGGAACAATCTTCCTAACATGGTCCGGGAAGCAGACACAGTCTGTCAGTTCAAATCTAGACTAAAAACACATCTCTTTGGCTTAGCATACACATAAAACATTATAGACTTCTATAATTCAATGTTAGGCTGCATAGTTTAGATCAGCTAGAACCAAGAACACTTCCCATAAATCCTGATATACTTGGTACATCATAAGAAGGATGGCGTCTACGCCATCGCTAACGCTAGTCTCTCTGTTTAACCTGAGGTTTACCACAAACCGCCGGATCCAGGCCGTATCCAGATCTGATGAAGGACCATCGCATGGACACGATGACAACGCAGTCCTGAAGTGCCAGCCTCATCAACACTGTGAAGGCCTCATGGACACCTCTACAAACTCGTCTCCACACCGGCGTGATGACTCCGACCCTAACCAGATGAACTGGATAAATATCGTGAAAGTTCTGATCCCATCTGACTTCTGACCTGTAATGCTGCCTAAATCATAATCACACACTGTTCGTTCGTTGGCTAGAGGAGGACTGGCCCCACTGAGCCTGGGTTCCTTTCTTCATCTTTGTCGCCATTGGCTTTTGGCCTGCTTAGTTGCTGACATTTCATTTTATATTTAACAATATTATTACAACATTATTTTCCTGCAAAAAGTATTTAATAACAGGGAGCCAATAATTATGGCCAGTGTGTTTTGGGGAAAAGCATTTATTTCATAATGTGATTTCCCCCCACTTTCAATTCTTTTACTTCAATGAAAGGTTTGATTTTTGCGATTTTTTATTTTTTTTTAATGAAAGATCAAAAGTATAAACAATGCAGATTTATTTTTTACAGCCATTTTTTATCATATTTACCAGGGGTGCCATTAATTCTGAGCACCACTGTATATCTATAGAAAGCTTGAAATGTCTACTTTTTTTAAATGAACCCATTCAAATATTCTGAGATTATGTAATCTGTATGAAACGTGCATATAGGCAGCTAGGTGCGTCCACTACTGCAGAGATGACAAGTCTGCATCATGACTTAATCTCTGCAGCCATAAACACAGAAAACATTGTCAATAAATGATTAAAATGTTTAGACAGTCTCCTTCTGTTTTTTCACGACACACTCATAATCATTAAGTTTGCCGGTGCACTGTGGCAAGCTTTATGTGTGCATTTGATCGCTGTTTAGGCTATTTAATATATAGACAATTAAAGGCTTGTTCTTATGATTTATGGCTTATTAATATAATAATACATATTTTATATATATATATACACACACACACACATATTTGCCATTGTGACTAGTGGGCCAAAGTTACTACCACTCAGAATTTTAACTGGCCACAATTTTGACATCGATACCATAGGGAAAATCTGCCATATAGATATTTGTAATATTATCTCATAATTTGGCAGCAGGTTTATTAGGCTGCTGTCACTTTAAGACCTGACGCACGGATTTATTATACTGTTACACATACATTTTCTTTCTCAACTGTTTGTTCACTATTTACGTGGATACTCGTCAAGACCGGCATTTTGACATTATTTGTGTGTATTTGATAAGTAACGAAAAATAACTTAATTTAGTAATGAGAGTCGATTTTATGTGGGCGCACTTTGGGTGTGTGCACAAAATCTGTGGCAATTATTTTATTATTTATCTATCAAACAAAAACATTCATAGCTAGCACCTTCATATTATTTGAAAACAGAAAAAAATAATTGCAAGATCATTCATACTTACAACAGAGTCTACAATTCAGGAGTATATAATAAAGTTCAGTAAACATTTCTATCTGGGAATTGCATGTTAGAAACTTAGGAGCTATGTTTAAAACAAATACTTTTTCAACCATTTTGACTTTTTCTTGCAAATCATGTGACCTTCAAAAAATGGGTGTTGGCCAGTGTATAAATACGACTGTTTCTTCCAGTCTGCAAGCACCTGAAGTGAGTTAGACAAAGAAGCACTTCAACAAACGGGTAATATTGTAAGTAAATGTGTATAGCTCTTCAATAGTCGATGTATCTCAGTGTAGTAATGTTATGATGATATTTAGTATCTCAAATTGTGAGTTGTATATTGTAGATAATTGTTAATACCTAGGGCTTATGAATACAGAAATAGGACAAAATAGAAGGATATATTTAATGTTCTCAATATTTTTTTTAAACAATATAAAGTCTGTTTACAGAAAAAACTGTTTCATTTATGTCTTTGTGAACTGGTGATTGTTGTAAAAATGTTACGTTTGTTTACTTTCTTTAGCAATAATTTGCTTGGGAACTTGAAGGACTTCGAACCTGGAACCAGTCATGACAGATTCTGATGAGAAGTAAGAATGCTAATCACTGTCATTTTATGTGTGCAGACTTTAAGGCAGATAAAAGTAAAGTCACAATAATTTATCCCAAAAAAACAATTACTCTAAATGACTGTAGCTCTCGTCTTCTTTTTAAGATGAACAGACTAAAATTTGATCATTGTCCCCATTTTCCATGTTGTTAAAATAACTGCACACACATTATAACAGCTTTGGTGTCAGATGTCATTGGCTTTTACATGTGTGTCATGACTGACTTTGACATGCTAAAGTTTGGTTTTATCTTTTGAAAGATATGACTGCCAGAGAGTGATTTTCAGAGGATTTCAGCAGTTTTACTTTGTTCCTCACACAAAGCTTTCATGAACTACATTTCATGTATTCTGAAGCCATAAGTAATTTTGGAATACTTTTATAGTAATTTCTTTTTTTCATTTTGTGGAATAAACTGTTGTGACTATACTTTTGTCTGCTTGTTATGAGTGTTATATCGGTGATAAGTTGTTAGCTTCAGGGGATTGTAGGAGCCGATGCTGACCTGACACATGCAGGACTTTTACTCTTCTTTCAAAGTTTCTTTTAAAACTTATTCTAGTGAAGATATTGACGAAGATATTAATGTTATTGACGATGAGATGTATAATTTTGCCTCATTAAAAAAAATAACTAGTAGTCTATATTTTATTATTATTATTTACATTTTACAAAACTATCTGTTTTTTTGTTCTATTTTTTCTTTATATTACAGACAAAAAATGGACAGTTTAGAACCAGGATTACAGAAATGTAATGCAATCATCAAGCAAAGTAGTGTAATTGAGGAGGGGACTCCCACTCGATATCATCTGACACCAACACCAGACTCTCATGATCAATCTCAACCATATAGAAAAATGACCTTTGGAGAGAGAGACAAAACCAAACCCCATAAAACCATTCTGATAGTGGGAGAAACAGGAACAGGAAAAACAAAACTGACCAACACGATGATCAACTACATGTTAGATGTTCAGAGAGAAGACAAGGTTTGGTTTGAGATCACAGATGATCAGAGTGACCGAACATCAGCTCACAGTCAGACCTCCAGCATCACTGTTTATGGGTTTTATCTACAAGAGAGTAAAACTGATCTAACAATCATCGACACACCAGGATATGGAGAGACACGTGGAGCTGAGAAAGAGATCGGCATGAGTTTGCTTAGTTTAATTGAATCTAAAAGGATCAATAAAATAGACGCAGTGTGTCTGGTTATTAAAGCAACACAGTCTCGACTCTCTGATAGAGAAATATACATATTTGATGCTGTTCAGTCTTTATTTGGAAGAGATATTGATGAAAATATTGTCTTGCTCTTCACACACTCACGTGGAGCGATCCCTAAAAATATTCTGATGGCTGTTGAAGAGGATAAAATCAAGTGTGCAGTGAATGAACAGAATCAGCCGGTGTATTTCCTGTTTGACAACTGTCAGTCAGAACCTGATGATGAAGAAGATGAAATGCAGAAACAATCATGGGATCTCAGTTTTAGAGGAATTACTGGATTTTTCAAATTTCTTGACAACATAAAATCAAAAACCGTGAAGATGACCCAAGATGTGTTGCAACAACAGAAGCAGTTGGAGGCAAAAATCTCCGATATAAAATCACATATTCAAGAGATAAACCGTAAGCAGAATGAGCTGAAACAAACTCAAGAAGATCTGGAGAAACACAGAAAGGTTGTTGAAGAAAATAAGAACTTTGAGTGTGAAGTTGACGTGTCCTATGAAGAGAAGGTTGATATTGATCGCTCTAAAGCCAAAGAGGCGTTGTGCTGCCCCGTCTGTGAGGAGAACTGTCATTATCCAGACTCCTGGTGGGCCAGAAATCTCTCATGGTCCAGTGTGATGAAAGATGATCACTGTACAGTGTGTACAAATAAATGCCACTACAGTAAACATGTCAAAGAAGCAAAAATATATGAAACAAAGACGAAGAAGGTGAAGAGGACATATGAAGATTTGAAGAAGAAATATGATGATAATATAATTAAAGTTAGGGAAGGTGAGTCTTTGGTCAAGAGGCTGGAAGAAGAACTACAAACATTAGAGAAAGAGAAAATAAAGCTGGTGATGGATGCGTTTCACTGTGTGGATACTCTGGAGAAGATCACACTCAACACTGATTCACTGAACACACTCCGACATGTTGATTTTCTGATCGAGGAGCTGAAGGAAATTAATGAGCCTGACAAAGCTAAACAATTAGAAGACATCAAGAAGAGAGCAGGAGAAGAAGAAAACAGAGCACTGAAATACATGGAAAGATGTGTTAAATCAGAAAATTAGAAAAGTGCACTCTGATAGCCAAGTCATGTCACCTTTATTTAGCGCTTACAATACAAATTGTTTCAAAGCAGCTTTACAGAGATAACAGGAAAATAATGTTGTAATAGAATTGTTAAATTCAAAATTAAATGTTAAATGTCCCCAACTAAGCAAGCCAAAAGCCAATGGCGAAGAAAGGCGAAAAAGGCGACAGTGGCAAGGAACCAAAACTCCATCAGTGACAGAATGGAGAGAAAACCCTTGGGAGAACCCAGACTCAGTCTCAGTTCTCCTCTAGCCAATGAACGAACAGTGTGTGATTATGATTTAGGCAGCATTACAGGTCAGAAGTCAGATGGGATCAGAACTTTCACGATATTTATCCAGTTCATCTGGTTAGGGTCGGAGTCATCACGCCGGTGTGGAGACGAGTTTGTAGAGGTGTCCATGAGGCCTTCACAGTGTTGATGAGGCTGGCACTTCAGGACTGCGTTGTCATCGTGTCCATGCGATGGTCCTTCATCAGATCTGGATACGGCCTGGATCCGGCGGTTTGTGGTAAACCTCAGGTTAAACAGAGAGACTAGCGTTAGCGATGGCGTAGACGCCATCCTTCTTATGATGTACCAAGTATATCAGGATTTATGGGAAGTGTTCTTGGTTCTAGCTGATCTAAACTATGCAGCCTAACATTGAATTATAGAAGTCTATAATGTTTTATGTGTATGCTAAGCCAAAGAGATGTGTTTTTAGTCTAGATTTGAACTGACAGACTGTGTCTGCTTCCCGGACCATGTTAGGAAGATTGTGAAAGTGTCCTTCTGTGATATAGTGCTACAAATATAATCACCATGTTCACTGAAGCAATAATGTGTTCATCGCTGAGAGTTTGCGTAGTTTAAGTGAATCTGCAGAAGTGATCCGTGAAATACATGCAGTGTGTCTGGTGATTATGGCACATCAAAATCGACTCTCTGACAGACAAATACACATATTATTACACACACACACACACACATTGTTACAAAAAGTTGACAAGCCTTGCTAAATATTGCAATTTAGCCAAATGTTTGTGTTGGTTTGAGAAAATGTGTGCAGAGACAAAAAAAAAAAACATTTCCATATCAATTGTTAATATTTAGTCCTTATTTGCCGGATCTCTCTCTCTCTCTCTCTCTCTCTCTCTCTCTCTCTCTCTCTCTCTCTCTCTCTCTCTCTCTCTCTCTCTCTCTCTCTCTCTCTCTCTCTCTCTCATTTATATTTGCCTTTATAAGTCTCTCTTGTGATGCTGTTGTCACAATCTGAAAAATGATTTGAAGGTTTTAGTTGCTTTTACTGCATCTTGTTGTGTTTGTGTTCACTAGTCCCTTGTTAGTAATTAGTCATATAGTTGTAATATTTTTCCTGTACAGTAAATTGAAATATTTTTGTCCTTGTTTAATAAATCTCTGCCTGACAAGTTCCTATCTCTCTTTGGTAAATTATTGTTTTACTTCACAGAATATCATGCTCAACAAAAAATATGCCTTTGTTTGTGATTCTGATAGGCTGAATACCAGTCAGTGTGTCTAAGCTATAAAAAGATTCAAACAAAAATTTTATGCATTTCTATAAACATGTTTTTTTCTATTTTTGGTCAAACGGTTTCAGAGGCATTTGCCTTTATTTTAATGTTCATGTACTATTGGGTCCATATGAGATGGTATCATCCTGTTTCTTGACAATAAATCAGACAACTCTTAAAAATTTATTTATTCTAGATATATGGGCATATTACAGTTATCTTTCTCACAGACAATTTGCTGTTTAACAGCGCCACCAAGGGGTCAAATAATAAAATCACATATAGGCGTACTCCACTACACATGACTCGAGTAATATGTCTGCTGTGTGAGAATAAGCAGAAACTAACATAAAATTTGATTCACAATATTGTGTCTCTTTTTAAATATGTTTTAATGATGCTTGGAGAGAAATTAATAAACTTTATATTGCTTAATTTCCAATGAGGAAAACACAATCAGAATATTTCCAAGACATAAATATACATATAGCCTTGTGCAAAGTATGTGGAATAATTGTATATGCAGCAGATCTTTCATTACTGTAGTACAGTTTAGTACTTTTTCTCGAATGGACGCACACACAGTAGCCTACCACAAACACTCCATCTCGAGCACAACAAGCTCAGTGGCCGGAACAGCAACTGCTGTGTAAATGTGCTCCAGTTAAATTTTAATCCTTTTAGGCAATTCAGGCACTTAATGAACTTTACTACAGGTCTGGTAAAGCTTTTGTCATTGACTTTTACCTCAGTTCTCTCACGTGTCCATCAGACTCGGAAACACCTTTAGCACTTTGCCTAACACAAAATGATCAATAGACTTATGGATCAAATTGAAAAAATAGCATTTTCAGTCATGCCAACATCATGGTTGCAAAAACATTTAGTTTCAAATTGTATAACCTTGTTTTGAATAGTTGATGATATTTAATATGCGTTGGTAGGCTATAGCTATACACTACCGTTCAAAAGTTTTAGAAAAACAAAACAATTTTAGGAAATCAGCATCAATCAATTTATGAAGTCAACATGTGATGTTCTCTCAAAAATTGCAGTTGTATTGACAATTTAACATGCAACATGACTTTGAGAAATGAGTGAATGCAACTAGAGAAAGATACTGCAGAAGTGAGGGAAATAAGTGAAAATATTTCCCTGAAACTATTAGAAATATTAGAACTGACGGGATCCTTGTTTCCACTTCATTGCCAGATCTCCACATCTCTGAATCTTTATAATTCAAAGCCTGTTTCTGTTACAATGTATGTTTGTTATTTTGCGCAGGCATTTGTGTTATATTTGATAGAGATATACTGATGTACAAGTGTGACTAACTAGTACATTCTCCTTTTGATGAAGCAATAAGCTTTGAGTGACTCTAACCCATGACTCTGGCTCTTTACTCCTCTCCTGTCACTGGACATTAGTTGGTTCGCCCCCAGGGGGATTTAGTACTGTAACAGTTCTCAGTGCATTAAACAGTCTCTATAATATTCACTGTGTCTATAACAAAACAGAGCAAAAACTGGATGGAAAAAGAAAGCTATTGAAACATTTTCTCCATATTCCTTGTTCCAAATAAAACACTTGTGCACTTCATTTACACCTGTCAACAAAGTGATTTTTAGTTTTTTGGTGATTATGAAGTTGAAACCACTCACTTTTTATTGTATGTATTACTGGAAGCAAGCATCATGGAAGTAAACAATGAAAATGATGAGGAAAAGATAGAGAATTGAAAAGAAATGGTGATTGATTATCAGTCATTATGTTCCTCTCAATTTTGGAATATAAAAAAATATTTCCCTGACCAGGAGAGGGCAGCAGATTGTAGGAGCCGATGCTGACCTGACACATGCAGGACTTTTACTCTTCTTTCAAAGTTTCTTTTAAAACTTATTCTAGTGAAGATATTGACGAAGATATTAATGTTATTGACGATGAGATGTATAATTTTGCCTCATTAAAAAAAATAACTAGTAGTCTATATTTTATTATTATTATTTACATTTTACAAAACTATCTGTTTTTTTGTTCTATTTTTTCTTTATATTACAGACAAAAAATGGACAGTTTAGAACCAGGATTACAGAAATGTAATGCAATCATCAAGCAAAGTAGTGTAATTGAGGAGGGGACTCCCACTCGATATCATCTGACACCAACACCAGACTCTCATGATCAATCTCAACCATATAGAAAAATGACCTTTGGAGAGAGAGACAAAACCAAACCCCATAAAACCATTCTGATAGTGGGAGAAACAGGAACAGGAAAAACAAAACTGACCAACACGATGATCAACTACATGTTAGATGTTCAGAGAGAAGACAAGGTTTGGTTTGAGATCACAGATGATCAGAGTGACCGAACATCAGCTCACAGTCAGACCTCCAGCATCACTGTTTATGGGTTTTATCTACAAGAGAGTAAAACTGATCTAACAATCATCGACACACCAGGATATGGAGAGACACGTGGAGCTGAGAAAGAGATCGGCATGAGTTTGCTTAGTTTAATTGAATCTAAAAGGATCAATAAAATAGACGCAGTGTGTCTGGTTATTAAAGCAACACAGTCTCGACTCTCTGATAGAGAAATATACATATTTGATGCTGTTCAGTCTTTATTTGGAAGAGATATTGATGAAAATATTGTCTTGCTCTTCACACACTCACGTGGAGCGATCCCTAAAAATATTCTGATGGCTGTTGAAGAGGATAAAATCAAGTGTGCAGTGAATGAACAGAATCAGCCGGTGTATTTCCTGTTTGACAACTGTCAGTCAGAAGCTGTTGATGAAGAATATGAAATGCTGAAACAATCATGGGATCTCAGTTTTAGAGGAATTACTGGATTTTTCAAATTTCTTGACAACATAAAATCAAAAACCGTGAAGATGACCCAAGATGTGTTGCAACAACAGAAGCAGTTGGAGGCAAAAATCTCCGATATAAAATCACATATTCAAGAGATAGACCGTAAGCAGAATGAGCTGAAACAAACTCAAGAAGATCTGGAGAAACACAGAAAGGTTGTTGAAGAAAATAAGAACTTTGAGTATGAAGTTGAAGTGCCCTATAAAGAGAAGGTTGATATTGATCTCTCTAAAGCCAAAGAGGCGTTGTGCTGCCCCGTCTGTGAGGAGAACTGTCATTATCCAGACTCCTGGTGGGCCAGAAATCTCTCATGGTCCAGTGTGATGAAAGATGATCACTGTACAGTGTGTACAAATAAATGCCACTACAGCAAACACGTCAAAGAAGCAAAAATATATGAAACAAAGACGAAGAAGGTGAAGAGGACATATGAAGATTTGAAGAAGAAATATGATGATAATATAATTAAAGTTAGGGAAGGTGAGTCTTTGGTCAAGAGGCTGGAAGAAGAACTACAAACATTAGAGAAAGAGAAAATAAAGCTGGTGATGGATGCGTTTCACTGTGTGGATACTCTG